TTTTATATGATTTCCCTATCTGCATTTGGTTTCTGCTCTCTTCAGTCTATAGCATGCTCTAGTAACAAGACCACTGGCTCACTCAGGAGTGTGGAGTTTCCCAAGGGAGAGAATCAAGAATTACAGCGAGGCATTCTTTCCAGTAGTGAGTGCTTCCCAGCAATGCTTCACTGAATGCCTCATCCACAGGCATGGAACAATTGCTTGTCCCTTCAATCTTGCATTTTTTTCATGGCCACAAGATGGCGGCCTGATGATCCAAAATATTCCACCATAGGTGGCTCTCATGGCTGTAGTAGCCCAGGTTAGAGGAAGGGTATTTTACATTTTTGCATCATGATCTTTTGAGTTGTTGGTGGACCAATATGAAAACAGAGGCAGGCTCAATGTAAACATTGGCAATTAAAAACGGTCTTTTGAAAGAGAGAGAGAGAGCAAGAATCACAACCAACATGAACTGTATAAAACTCAGTGATCAGTGATTAAAGTTATTTGGGAAAGTGAAGTTTTGTCCTTGGAGCTAATTTCAGGAGGAAAATCACAAAGCCTGATTGATTTGGGCTCCTTCTTCACTTTAAAGATTTCTTAGTACCTTCGAGGAGTCCACAGAAAGAGTTTTAAAGAAGTGTGTGTTTCAATATGCACTATACATGGAGCAAGAAACAAGATGCAGTGCTTCTCATTTTGAAAATGTAAGTGCAAGCTATGCAATTTTGACATTTTACATGACTTGAGTTACTGGTCGTATATTCTAAATAACCAGGAATGAATGAGCATCCTACTGTTGCCCTGAAAATGAACTGGACCATTTGAGCATTTTTAATTAACGCAAAATAAAATCAGAGGGGCCAGGGAGCCTGAGAGGTACATGAGAGGTACGGAGAGGTCTGTAGGCACATTGGTGTCCATAGGCACCGTACTGAAGAGCTTAGTGTTCCATTAAAAGTCATTGCATCCTCCAAAAGCAGCAACTATGTATTTCAACTAAGTTTGAAGACAACTTTGCATAGCCTGGCAACAGAGTGTGCTACAGTCCCTTGCCTGCCCACTATCATTAGCCACTTGCAGTTGCGCTTTTAATGTAATGAATGTTTACATTCTAAGCAACTAAAACCTGGTCTTCAATGTCTATTTAGAAGTTGATGCATGTAGGAGGATTCAAATCTCAATACCAGGTTCTCATTCCTTTCAGGGATTGGCTTCTTCACAGAGCTCTCTTCAGGTCTTTGTCCCTTTCTATGTTAATATTATTGTCCTCATATTTTTGTTAGTTTAAAATTTCTGTCCAAGAAGATAAGCGGCTTATGGAACCCAGCATTTACCAAACTGGTCCTCCTTTTATACCACTGCCACTGATTGTGACAAAGGATCTTGTAGAATCTTGGAGAACTGGAGGTAACTGGAGCAGTTTGTGATGCAGAATTCCCTTTTTTTAAACCTGTTCCTCTTCTTGACTGTTTGTGATTTTTTAAAAAGCCATTCCTGTTGCTTTCTGAAGTTTAACACAGTCCAAATAGCTGAGCTCAGTCCTGCACTTGATTCAGAAGAGACAAGGAACACATTCGTATAAGAAAACTCTCAATGGTAAATGTGTCATCTTACTTTGAGCTAGTATGCTTCCTTCTCTTTATGGGAAGTGAGAGTCATCTATGACTATTTGCTCTTGATCCATTGATTATATGGGAATGGATGAATGTAGTAAACAGGGAAATATCCCTAGCTATCCTAACGGTTAATGCATTTATTTTTATTCATTCAATTTATATGCTAGCCATAAGATCTCTGGACGGCTTACAACATATTCAAATTCAATATAAAACAATACAAACACAATTGTAGGTTCAGGTACAGCGTGGGGTTCTTTGGTATTGTAGGGTACTGTTCCATAAACCACAATGCAGAAATGAAAGTTGACTCTTTGTTTGCACTAAAAGACACAGTGAAACCCTTCCTTCAGTTAAAAGAAAATCCCCAGAGTGCACCACTACACATGTTCATTCTTCTTCCCACAGTTTAGCACAGGCGTCTTTTGGTGGGAGGAAATGCTAATTGTAGATTTGCACAGGCATTTCCCCCTACACCTTCAAAAGACAACACCAGCCAATGTTTGCTCAGAAAAGTACAAAGCAGAACATTTTGTGATCAGTGGATGGCTGAAATTGGAGCTCCTAAACAGTGTTTAAGGAACAAAGAAGAATAAACAAAGGAATTATATATGATGTTCCATTTCTAATGGCCAACATGAAATATTCTAGTTAAGGAAGGGCATAGCAACTGATGTAGTGAGGAGTGGCAGGTAGATCAAGAGAAAGATAACCATTTGACAGTATATTAACTCCTGAAAAGTACCCTTGATTTCAGGGCTCTTTTGAGAAGGTAATTGAGATGTTACTAAGGCTAAATCAAGGTATAAAGGATTACAACCTCTTCCTTCTCCTCTTCCTCTTCTTATTCATTATCTGTTCTGCTGCAGGTTATGGCTGCAGTGGAACTGGGCAGCATGGACCTTCGGGACCTTCCTGGTCAGCTCTCCCCACCCAACTCTCCACTTTTGCATCAGGATCTGTGGCGTTCCCTGTCAGGGCTAGGAAGTGTAGGCTGAGGCCCACCACCTTGCTCAGTGCTCCTGCATCCTTTGGGCCACAAAGCAGCAGGATGGTCTCCTCTTCCTATCTTTGCCCAGCATGTTCCTGGGCCGTTTCAAGTACTTCATCATCACAAGGTGCCTGGAGGAGTATCTTTGATTATTGCTTCTTAGACCACTCTGGAGGGATGTGGTGGCCATGCACTTTTTGAAAACTTCTTAGGGCATGGTCTTGATTACCTGGCCACTGTTGAGCATCAGGCATCCAAGCTGCCTTGCAACTGTTTGCCCTCTCACACTGGGGGAGCACCTGGTGAGAATATGGGAAAGAATCCAGAGTGAACCTGTTAGCAGCTGCAGGCCATGCGCCAGGCAGTGGTTGGTATGGTACAGGTTCCCCAGCTCGCCTTGGCCCTCCAACTTAGTGCCCATAGCCATTCCTGCCACCCCGCACCCAACACCTGCATGCTTACCGTCAGAACCTGGTGGTACATTCCTAGTCCATAATGGCATGCAAATCCTGGCCCTGCTGTGGTGCTGCCGTGTCCTCAGCAGTCAATGGGACCTCACGGGCAACTGGTCCCAGTCAGTCTCAAGATATAGGCTGGTGTTCCATGTTTTTCCTGCAGCAATTTGCATCCCTGTAACTACATACTGACCATGCCCAGGACCGGTGGAAAGTCGGAAAATCCCTTGTGTGGATTTGAACCAGCAGCCTCCTGTGCCTGTTCGTACCTGCTTCACAGAATGCACAATGGATGTCCCTATTTGTGTACTGTTCCTACTGAAGGGTGGAGGGAATTTTAAATGTTTTCTCCATGGTAGGATTTGATCAGCAACCTTCTATAGCTTACACCTACTCTACACCAGCTTACACCTACTCTACACCTGAACAGTTCCCTTCCTCATTGCTTCTATCTGGCTGCATGCCTGAGGTGTGTGTATGAAGTTGGGGAATATTTTGCTCTTGAGGAAACACAGACCAGCATTCCAATGAATGTGTTTGTCATTACTTTAGCACACAGCACCTGCAAGAGGTAGGAGTGTTAGGGAAAGCCATGGTGGATTCAGATGAGATCTCTGCCTTAAACCCATAGAACTGCTTCCAGTCAGAGTACACAGAACCAAGCTGTAGACCAGTGGACTGACCTGGCAGAAAGCAGCTTCCTCTGTCCCTGTGTTAGATGCAGAACAATGCGATATGGTCCACAGGGTGCCTGTTGAAGAATACAAGGCTAGAGGTCTGTAGGATCGAGACATTCTACCTGCTCAAACCAGATAGCAACAGTCATATTAGGAAATGCTTTACGTAATGAGTTCCAGTCACAACAGAGGTTATCTAAAACTAGCATGAAGATGCCAAAATGAAGAAGCAGAAACATATCCATCAATCCAGTGCATTCAACTAATAGAAGAATTTGGTTTTCAGACGGATAGAACAGAAAAGGAAAAGAAGAGGTAAAATAAAATACTCAAGAATGAAGAGCAAAATGAAAGAAGAGCCAAATGAGTGGGAAGAAATATTTTATATATTAATTTTAAAATCAAACCAACTAATAACATTTTCTAAGTTAAACATCCTATTTTTCAAAACTGTCAAACAAAATTTCAACATATTCTGTGTACAGGATGATTATGTGATTAAAAATGCTAAATGCAAATAATCAAACCATAGGTTTGGATAGTTGGTCTTATATTCTCAGAACAAGCAAACGGGAATGTAATTATTAAGCAATATAATTTAAGTGCAAGCAAATAAGATGGCTTAAACTTTGGCAAAGTTAGCTACAGCTTTCAAACTCTGTGTAACAATTTTTCCATAATTATTGAAGAACCCAAAGTATTTCATGTGAAATTACAAAAGAAGATAGTCAAACTCTAGCTTTTTAACAAACAAACAAAACCATGAAGCAGTTTCCAGGAGCAGAAAATACTCTAATAATTAAGTTATACTTGAACATAAAAACCAGTATTCTGAAATACTCGAATTAAGTTCTTGTGCCTCCAAAACACACTTCCCTGGACAAAATCCCAATTAATGTAACCCAGGATCTCCCAGCACCCCCACTATGCTGAGACCTAAACATTTGGTTCAGATAAACTGGCTTTGTGTGTTAAGTGGAAAGGCAACTTTGACATTTCTAACCACAGATTCCTCCAGCGTAAGTGCTGAGCACCCTTTCAGGATTAGATTGCTTGCATGCAAAATTCTACAACTTGTGAAATGAGTAATTTTAAAAGAGCTGACTCAAATGAAGTTATATACCAAACATGAATAGCAATTAGACAGAAGCCATAATTAAGTGTCAGTGAGTCATTTCTTCCACTTATGATTTGAGGGTCCTGTTCATAAGGTTTTAAGGGAAAACTGGCCATGGCCCTGCAAAAAGTTAACAGCAGCCATGGGAACTGAGTGTTAGATTTGGGATTCCATTGAGATTCTGCTTAAAGTCACCAGAGCTCTCTCATAGGGCAGCTCCGTAGCATTAACTGGGTTAGGGACTTTGGCTGCCTCTTCAGAAATCTCAGAATGGATGATCAAAGCATCAGCACTAAATGACCGGACTCGGACTCCTGATGATGTTCCAGGTTCTCCATCCATTGCCTTTTCAAAAGCAGTATATTCTTGTTCCTTGCTATCTAGATGCTTGGCACTACAATATGGAGCATAAACTTCAGTGGTTTCTTCAAACTGGAGGCAGTTGACTTTGTAATACTTCTTCTTCATTTGCAAAATTTCATTGAATCTGTGGCCCCAGAGGATTTCTCGAGGAACATATGAGCTTCTTGACTGGTGTGACGTTCCTGTCGAGTCTCCAGTGTATACGAATGTAACCAGGATCTCAAAGTTCTCTTTTGCCAGAGCTTTCCTGTCCAAATCATATAATGGGCTGTCCTGGTTAATTTCATGCACAATGGTCACTGGAGTCGCAAGGATGATCTGATCATTTAACAGTTTTAAGTCCTTGTATTCGAGGATCATCCGTCCCACGCGATCTTCCACATAGCGCAAGAGCTGGGCTCTCACTGTGCCTTCTACCATATGATTAGGCCGGAAATCACCTATCCGCCACATCAGGCAGAGTTTGCCATCTCTCAGGCCAACTGTGGCATAATAGCTAAAGCGGATGGTCTGAGCTCGCTTCCGGGCAGTTGCCATTTTGGCCAAGGCAGCACCAATGATGAATGTGTCAATGATGCAGCCTAACACCGACTGTAGGACAACTGTCAGGATTGCTGCTGAGCACTCCTCAGTGACACAGTGGGATCCATAGCCAATTGTCGTCTGGGTTTCGAGGGAGAATAAGAAAGCCCCTGTGAAACTATGGACGTTATCAACACAAGGGGTTATTTCTTCATCAGGTGATAAGTCACCATGCTGGAGCGCAATCAGCCAGAAGACCAAACCAAAAAACAGCCACGAAAGGATGTAGGACAATGAGAAGATCACAAACATGTGGCGCCATTTGATGTCCACTAATGTGGTGAAAATATCAACCACATAGCTCTCCCACTCCCCAAAGATGTGCTTGAAGTATACATTGCAGCTCCCATCTTTCTGGAGAAACCGCTTTTGCATTTGTTTAATCCCCACTGAAGTTGTTTCTTGGTAGCTCTGTGAATGTCTGAGTTTCTTTGCCTCCATGCTTATAAGTTTATAGTTATCATCACCAGGCTCAGCCATGCTTCTGGAGTCTGCACTGTGTAATTAATTCAGAAGACACATTTAAAGATATCAATCACCAGCTGGTCTCCCCCCTCTCATCTTTTATAACCTGCAGAAGAAAACAAAGAGCAAATATTTAATATTTGGATTATATCTCAGGCTAGATTCTAATGACCACATGCGTTATCTAATGAGCAACGCTTTTTCAACTTGTATCCTCAGCTTTAACTGGAAACGAGCTTTAGTGTTGTTTAAAATTCTAGCTTTCCTGGTTTTATCTTGAAAGCACCCAAAATAGACTCAAGATAATGGAGCAATGGCAGTGTACATATTATACATACATGCATACAATTCCACACAACCCTACATTTGACATCTCCAATAAAATCCTCTTTTATGGGGACTAACTCTCCCACAGGCTCCTTTAATTGTCTCCAAGGCATGTGAAAAGCAAAGGTGGTTGTTCTTGTACATAAGAGAAAAAACAGTAACAAAACCAGTAATTATAAAATCCACAAGGACTTTGCATTTGAAGTGTTACATTCCCTCCAATCGCTAGGCAATCATACAAAAATAGGCTTCAATTAACTTTTTAAAAACCTGGTTCACTTCCCAAAATTAATCCCAAATGTTGCTTCTCTTAAGACTGTCATGATTCTTCTTACCTTTGCTCTTTACCTAGCAGAAACCCATGTGTATTGCTTCCAGGTTGAGACAGATAAGGGCAACAGCCAACTCTCATATTCTTAGGCATGGCTGGTCAGCTTCATCTGAGAAGTCTGGGTGTAACCTAGCAGAAACTCCTGCAACAGCAGGGGATTGGACCTAATGACCTTCATGGCCCCTTCCAAGTCTACTATTCTATGGTTCTATGATTCTAAGTCATTGTGTTTGCCATCTCCATCTGGAGATAAGAGCTACTTCCAGAGAAGCGATAGGATCTACAGGTGCCTTCACAAAGGGAAAGAAACTTCCTCCATCAGGTGGCATCTGCCATATTTTGGGGATCCCTGCAAACTCCACATACCCCATGCACACAACACCACAGCTCCTGACTCCCACTGTAACCATTTCAGGGACCTGGAGTGGCTACCATTGGAAGAAGCAGATGGGGAATTCTTCTATCAGTGTAGCTGATCCAGCATCAGTCTGGCTTTTATATACTATTGCCTTGCCTCAAATCCAAAATGTTATGAACGATGCCTTTCACTTATAATCTTCCTGGTTTTTCTTAGCTCTTGTTCTTGCTTTTCCTTTCTCTGCAAAGAGGGAGAAAATGGAACGGCTGCAAAAAGTCTTTTGATTGGTAGCACTGTGTGCCACACTTTTGATCAGTAGCACTGTTTAGACTTATACAAATTGGAAGCTATCTGAATCTAGATACAGATCTGATGGCTAAAACATCTAATCTGCCACCACCACCACTGTTGTATTTTCCTTATTCCTGCTTGCACCATTCTGTCTCATGAAGAGTTCTGGAGAATTCAAAAGTTTGTATACCATTTTGTGACATTTTATTTGGTTCTGGTAAAGATACTTCCCAACTGTGGCAATATAATTTTCTAATGTTCTAATGAATCTTGTGCTTGACTATAACAATCTGGTCCTTCAGCTCCAGAAATCCATTTTGCCCCAATTGGACAAAAACTTCCTATTCCAGGAGGCATTAATTCTGCCAGGCAGATGATTTCTGTGTGATGGGCCCTTCTTCTAGAAGGTTCTTAATTGCCAGAACTTTTTTCCGTCTCGATGCTGCTGTTTTTCTTTCTTTTATGGCATCGTTTTGTTTCTAATTGTGGTAAGCCATTCTAAGATGTAACCACCCTAGAAGGGCACAATGTACATGTCGTAGGGGTGGAGAAATAATACCTATTTAGGAGAGAGCATTATGACTGGTGAAAGGATTAAATTCTCCCTCCTCTGGTGCCATTGCTTCTTTCAGATTTAGAGCCACTTGTACCTACTTTAATGTTAAAAATACAAGAAAACCTATGCAGTCTTTAACTGATTGTGGAAGATCAACTGAAATGGAAAAAACTTACTCCATTGGACCAGCCTTGGAAAACCTACTCACCAATCCTTTACATCAGGTATAATTTGAATAGGTCCTTGTTACCAAGTTTGCTTTGCTCTTCAAGCAGTTCTTTTATACCCTTTTAAATGACTAATATTCTTCCATCTCGCTTCAGCATAGGTTTTGCAGCTGACCCAGGTTTTGATTTCCTGGTTCTGACCCATTTCAAATGGCAAAGTCTCAAAGTATTTGTGACTAGCCCTCTCCCCCACACATAAACCCAGTATTTTTCTGGGGACTTTGGGGTTATTTTCTCTGAATAATGAAGTGTTGGATTATAAGATAGTTACTTGTGGGATGATAAATAAAATATTTAACACAAGTTGTCCATATATTGCTACTTGGTCTCCTCTCCCCACTCTCACCAATGATTTTTTAAAAAAACCTTTATATAAGACTGTGAATAGTATCAATCCTTACAATTCCTGTACCCAGGTGACAATCTAAGATGGATTATGCAAAAGATTCACGTAGCTAAATTTGTATGCAAAGAACCTTTGCCTTCCCACCTCTCTTTTTTCTGTGCTCTATCTTGCCTGAATGAAGTCTCTATCTCAGCGGTCCTCAAACTTTTTCACCAGGGGGCCAGTAGAAAGATGCCGGTGCTGTGTGCGGGCTGGAAAGGGGGTGCCGGTGGTGCACTCGGGCCAGCAAGGGGGTGGGGGCATGCGGCAAGGGGGGGTGGGCATGCGCAGCGAGGGTAGGTGAGGTGCGGGCGGGCGCACAAGGCAGAGGCTTGCTTGCTGGGAGATCATTTTCTTTGAACAAGCACACCGCTGCCTCCCCGCACATGGGACGAGGTAGGTGGTGACGGGCGTAACGGGTCCAAATGGGCATGGTTCCAGCCCCCAGGCCATAGTCTGAGGACCCATGCTCTATTTGGTAGCCCTCTTCAAGACCATCCTCATCTCCAGGTGCCAGTTCAGGGCTTCTTCCCCAGTATCTGCTGAAATGGAAGAACAGGCTCAAGCATCCTGGATGCAAGGGCCTTACGCTGTACAAGCACTGAAAGGTGAGAGCCAGAAAAGGAAGGAAGCTAAGCAAACTAATTGGAAAGCGGAAGCAAACAAGGCATCACTCATAATGACTGACAGGAAGATCAGCTAGACTGGAGCTGGGACACCAGAGGGAAAAGAACATGTGAAGCAGGAAAGCAAGAACATTCAAGTCCTCTAAGAGTTGTACCATGTCCTTAGTTTAACTGTTAGTCCTTGGCTAAGCATAACTGAGCCATAGTTTTGCTACTCATGTTCCATGACATATGCAAGCATGAATTCACAGGTCCAGTCTACAACTTACACTGACTACATGGAGAATTCTGAATGAGGACTCCATGAGGGAGCTGTTCCATGTTGGGACATTTTTCTTATGGCTGCATTTTTTCTCATGGCTTGCCCAGCTCAAAGAGACTTTCTGTGCCATGGCCTGGTGGCATCAGGCACTGGGGATGAGCACCAACTGGAAGAGTAAGCTTTGACCTTATTCACTGCTTTGGAAAATGGCCTGATTCAGAGGCCAATCGCTTTGATTTGGACGCCAAAGGTTTGTACCTCCCATTGGCTATCATGGTACATTTAAAAATTGCTGTAACCTTCTCTTTGTCAGAACTGGTTGATATCCGCAAGTCTAGCCTTCTGTTAGAATGGGATTATCCATGTCAAAGGGTTGGACAAATTTGTGTAGGGAATGTTATGTCATGCGCCTTTTGAAACAAGAGGATTTTTAAAGTGCATCTTTCATTCATTCATTCATTCATTGGCAGAAATAGAAGAAATTTCTATGCATAAGTGCCTCTTTTGAAGGAATGAAGGCCACCCAGTTTCAGATGAATTAGGTGCAGTGATTTTTGTGCAAGAGTTTCCTTTACATTGAAGGGTGGCCAAAAAAGAACACATTTATTCCCCTGTTCTTCTTAAAATGACATACAGCATAGAGGTGGCCTTTAGTAAGAAAACTATAAAGTTTCAGAACAATAGGTTCAACAGTTTATGCACAAGAGATTCTCCCTCAGATGCAGGGGAATGCAATCCCTCTTCCCTCTCCACAGGTTTTAAAATGATACATGTGAAATTAACATAGATCATGGAGACGTTCCCATGCAAGAAATGTTCAAGTTTTCAGAAACAAAGGGGCAAGGACTATGGGGTCATGATGACTGAAAAGGCTGATTTGACCAAAACCCCTTTTTAGTGCCTGAAGTGTAGCAGTATTGGAAATAGTGTTTTTATTGTAAGAAAAGTTTAGAGAAAAAGGCTTGATTTAATCATTGAGATGGGAAAAAGGAAAGGAGTTTGAAATTATTTTTTAAAAAAGAACTTGAAACTACCTTACCTCACAACCCAGCACATAAGCTCAGGCTTCCTTCCTTCTTGCTTGCTGCAGAACGACTTAGTGACTAAGAAGAGGAAACTAGAAGAAAGTGTTTTCTCTGATTCAATCCCTCCCCAAAAGCATATCCTGGGAGAACCTACCCTATGATTAGAAAGTGAGGTTTTCAGAACTACAGTTGAGCCAACATTTCTGAACATTTCAGATTTCCCCCTCATTTATCACTATTTCCACACATGACATAACCTGAAAAAGAAGTTTACTTTTCTGGACATGTACACCCACACCCATGCACGCACGCGCGTGCACACATGCACACACACACACACACACACTGCAGTCTGTACCATGCTAGACCTGGGGTATTCTGAAGAGTGCTAACTGGTGACCAGGCCTCACAACAGTTGCATCTCCCATGTACAGTGGTATTGAGATCAACCATGTTAAAAGAGAATGAGGGGAAAACAAAGACACTGTGCTGCTACCTCTGCTCATCGTGAGTCCCACCCCTAAGACATTTGCAGACAATTTCTCAAGAAACCAGCTGACCTGGTTTCCCCACTTCATCTGCCCACAAATAGGCTGGAAAATCTGGGAAGCTATTAGCATACAAGAT